TCCATGCTTTCCGCCATGTACGGAGGCTGAATACCGAAGTTACATGAACCACTTCCATGTCCTGACGAACTGTGGCAAGTCAGGTTCTAAGCTGAATCCCTCTTCGGCCCTACCAATTGGCTAATGGTGTCGGATCGAGAGCAGGGGCACTGAACTGGTGAAGTGGACGACGAGTAACGTCCCCAAACCAAGTCAGTCGTCTCTCTTGGATGACTGGCCCGTATTCACCTCGCGCGGATCAGGCGGTTTTTAGGTCTTGTGTAGTAGAAGGTCATTTCGACATTCGTTGATGAACGTTCACCGATCGCCAATGGTCGCGAGTTCGAACCTCGGGTAGTGCATCACTTGGGTCTGGGTATGACGGGCTGAAGATGGCTTATAAGCAAGAAATGGCCTCTCAAATCTCCCTTATCATTGCCTGCAATACTATCTGCCTAATTTTATTTCGGTTGTCGCGATCGCTAATGTTTATCGCGTAACGAAATTTAAGGGGGAGGGGGGCAAGACAGTTAAGTCACTGTCTTGCGGCATCTGCCGAAGCCCCTTGTCCCTCAACCCCCTGCATCCAGTAGTAAGCTAGAATAAGGAGGACTGGGGGCGGGTTCGGATGACAAAGCTAAACAGCCAGTCTATGCCTGCCAATCGTGCATTCAAGATGGGCCAGATTATCACAGAAAGAAGAAATGATCGGCCCGAATCCCAACTGAAAGAGATTGCCATCACCGGCGAGGAGAACTGAGTCCGTCTTGTCCGTTAACGACCTTCCAAGCAACTGCTTTTAACGACAGTGGTAAAGTGAAGCACGTCAACTTATTTATAGTAAGAATGGTGGGCTCACTGCCGTGAAAACGCAGTCTCCAGGGTCAAAATCACTCTATCACTTCGTTCATCATCACATCAGTCGACTATCAGAGTTGATAAGTCATCCGGTGCGAGGATAAAGCCTAAGTAACTAACAGAGCACAGCAACTTATCTTCTGGGACGTAGAGATTTCACTAAATCGCGAGGTTCGCTACTAAAATAAGAGCTGGCTGCCGAACGTCTTGGATAAGATCACCCGGAGTAGGGTGCGTATTCACTGATGGTCCAAGTATTCAGCTCTTCCACTTGCTATAAGTTGTTTAATCAAGTCAGCCTGCACGACCAGCTATCATGGTGGAAACGTGGATCCATCGATAGCACTTGATGCTATTCAGAAACAGGCTATACTGCAATGCTATACCAGAAGTTGGAGTCAAAGTGGCAGGCGACGTAGCAAATTGATGTGTTATAGCCCGTGTGAAAACAACTGGATTTCACGTGCGTCGCCAGTTGTTATGGTCCGGTATTTCAAACCCGACTAATAGGCAGAAGAAGCCAAGAGAGTGCTTCTGATAGCAGGCCTTTATTCCAGACGGCACAGAGACAACGGAATGAATCAGCGTGTCCACT